GAGGGGAGTGTGTGCTGTGAGGAGAGGTAGGGAGGGAGGGGAGGGAGGGAGCGGGAGGACGGAGGGGCATGAGAGGAGAAGGAGCTGAGGGGTGAAGCTAGTCTACAAGCTCCTCTACAGTCCTCGTGGTGCTTGAGCCGCTTGATGGCAGCTGGAGTCCAAGAAGGCTCTGATGGCTCTAGCGCTCACAGATGACACATGCGTGCTCCACTCGCTTGATGCTGCTTGACACATGCGTGCTGAAGCGTGTCGTCACCTTGATGGCAGCCTCGCTCAGAGCTGCCGCGTGTCGTCACCTTGATGGCGAGTGCCCGGGCCGCAGGCGTCACGTCAGCAGCAGCCTCTTGTCTTGCATGTCGGGTTACGGTGCTGGAGGAGGTGAGAGGTACCCAGAGGTCTGGCTCACGGGGGGGCGATGAGGCGGAGGCTCTAGTGACGTCTAGTCATCATGGATGTTGCTTGGGGATCACCCAAGCGCTCTTAGACGCATGACCGTGACACGAGCAGCCTCGGCTTCAAGTTGCTGGCCACACGGTCCTCGACCTACGGCCACAGCTGCACCTCAGGCCGTGAACGTAGCGATCAGGCTGAGGTCGCTATCACAGACTCAGAGGCTTGGGCGGGATCGGAGAATCGATTTGATTTCATTCGTCGCATCCTGACTATTGATCTTGTACAGACAGTACGGACCGAACACGATGAAACAGAGTCTGAGTCTCAGGCCCCGCCCACGGCCGGGCCAGTGCCGGGATGGGAGTTCCCGGGGCCCGGGCCGCGCCCGGGCCGGTCACCGCCCTGCCGGTGTACTTACCTTGCCCGTGTAGTTACCCTGCCGGTTGGGTTGAACATTTCATGCCGGGAGGGAGGAGAGGAGAGGGAAGAGAGAAAAACGAAGACGTTGAAGGACTTATACTCTCTTGTCTTCTGTTCTCTTCTGTTCTCTTCTGTTCTCTTCTCTTCTCTTCTGTTCTCTTCTGTTCTCTTCTGTTCTCTTCTGTTCTCTTCTCTTCTCTTCTGTTCTCTTCTGTTCTCTTCTGTTCTCTTCTGTTCTCTTCTGTTCTCTTCTGTTCTCTTCTCTTCTCTTGTCTTGTCTTGTCCTCATCTCTCTCCTCTCCTCTCCTCTCCTCTCCTCTCCTCCTGTACTTTATTTCACTTCTCTTTTCTTCTCTTCTTATCTCTTCTCTTCTTATCTCTTTTCTTCTCTTCTTCTCTTTTTCTCTTCTCACTTCATTTCATTTCATCTCTCCTCTCCTCTCCTTGTCTACTCCCACTTGTTCTCTCGTCTTCTCCGCTGTTTGACTATCCTCCTCTGCGTTTTCCCCATCTGCCTTCTCTCCGTTATCTACTCTCCTCTCCGCCAGCCTTTTCCTCTGACCTGATCTTCTCTTTTCTTTGATCTGCTCTCCTTTCACCTGCTTCCCCTCTCCTCTCCTCTCGTGCAAGATCTTCTTCTCTCCGGTCAGATCTGCTCCTCGCAGTCCCTTCCTTTCCTTCTTTCCGTCTCTTTCCTTCTACCCCCTTCTCCTCGCTCCTCCATCTCTCTTTACTCGTCCTCTCCCTTGTCTGCTCCCCTTGTCATTGCACTTCACTACCTCCCTCCTGTCCATTCCTCTTCTCCGCTCTCTGCTCTCTGCTTCCCCCCTTCTCTGCTCGTCGCTTCTTCACCCCTGCTCTCTCCTCTCCCTTCTGTTGCCTTCGCTTTTCTGATCGCCTTTCTACTCTACTGTCCTCTCCTCTTCCATCCTTACCTCCTCTGCAAGAAGAGAAGCTCTCGCTTCGTCTCTCCTTGTCTCCTCTCTTTCGCTCTCGTTTCTTTTATCTTCTGTTCTTCACTTGTCTCCTCTCCCTCTCCTCTTCTCCCTCTTCCCCCGTCTCGTCTTTCTCTCTCTGCTGACAGCTGAGGCTGGAAGAGAAGCAGCTTGACAGGGAAGAGCAACGAGAGAGTAACGAGAGAAGAGAGAAAGACAAGGGAAGGGAGAGAGAGAGAGGGTGAGAAACAGGAAATATGAACAAGCAGTAGACAACGAGAGATGTTTAAAAGATAGGATATTTAAGAGAAGGTGAGAAAGGGATAAAGGTATCAAAGAGAGAATGAAGAGAGAAAGAGCAGAATCACGACCAGCAGCCCAGATGCAGAAAGAGAGAAAAATAGAAGGATAAGACGTGAGGTATGTATGAGGAGACAGACGCGAGCGGAAACAAGAGCAAAAGAACAAGCAGAAGAGAACAAGAAATGTTTGCAACATAGACATAAGAGAGGCAGAGGGAGACAAGCCGTCAAATTATGAAGAAGGATGATGACGAGAGAGACAGGAGCGAATGCGAAGCTCTCGGCATATGATGGGATGAGAGGCTTCAAGTGCTCGTAAATAGCAGGAGATTGTTGTGCTTGTGTTGCAGCTGACGCAGCTGTCACTGTGTCCTAGAGCTCTCCGAGACTTCCCAGGGACAGGAAGGTAGATAAGAGTACATAGACGAACAGCCTTAGGGAGACATGAAGGAAGGGAGAGAAGAGAGGATATTCCAAGCCGGCTGATGTAAGCTCCTGTAGCAGGTTTCTCCTGGAGGTAGGGTGTACTGCCCACCCGCATCCAGTGGTATTCTATAGGGTAGGGTAGGATCATATCACAGGAAGGGGTGGTCGTGAAAGTGCTTGTATGTTTCATTGTGCAAGAGGGGTTTGAAGGAGCTTGAGAGATGGTGAGGACAAGCTTGTCTTGTCGCTAGAGTGTGAGATGGCTTGTAACTGCTGCAGAGAGTAGGAGACGTGACAACATTTAGAAGAGAGGAGAAGAGGGGAGGGAATTATATTTCCTGTCTGGTTTGTTGTATGTTTTTTTTTTTTGGCATTCTCGTTTGCAAGTAGAGGGAAGCTAGAAACATTGCGCGCTCCTAGAGCTCTCTGAAGGTCCCAAGGAGAGAAACTTGTGCTGTGTGTAGATGACAAGCCTTAGGTTTATGTGTAAGACAACAAGATCGAATAACCCCTCAAGGCAACTCTCGATGACGTGACACTTGTGACAGGCGTTGAGATCTGTTGGGCCTTGTCCCCTCCTGCTAGTCTGGTACGGCATGGGGAAGAATGTACATCCACCAGCTAGTGCCCAGCAAACGACCAGCTGGACTATCCCCGACGACATCAGCTCTGACCTCAAGAAGCTCTTTCAGACCCCTCGAGACTCCGAGGATTACAAAACGATTCTCAACAACCTCCGCATGGCTCTCGGCGTCGACGCGTCGGCCCTCATGCCGCACGCAGGCCCTGACAAGCTCTCGTACGACGACTACGAGGTCAGAGTCGCAAGAGAGTGGGAGCTCGAGCGCAAGGCCAGCAGCCTCGGCGACCTCAACATCCTCCGAGTCATGGCGGAGTGCATCCCCGGCGGGAGCACGGCGAGTCCTCTTGCGGGGCTACAGGGGATGACGGAGAGCGCTCTATCGGCTCTATGGCAGACGGCGATAGGGAGGAGGCTCGAGGAGGCGCTGAGGAGGCCGGCGGAGGCAGGAGGGCGGGCGGGAGGAGACGGTCCGACATCGCACAACAGCAAGTTTGCGGTGAATGAGTCAGACGGTACAGGCAGCGGGGAGGTGCGCGAGGCCGTGTACGGGAAGATCGAGGAGTACTACGGGGGGCTGATGGAGCGGATCGGGCTACCTCAGACGGAGCTGATGAAGGCGATAGAGGAGGAGCACTGCAAGGGCAAGGACGCGGAGGAAGCGTTCACGACGAGCAACTACGGGATCAGGACGACAGCCAAGGAGGAGTGGCTCAACGTCACAGACCCGGAGAGGAGGCGGAGGCTGTCGGACGGGACGCGGGTGATCCGAGGGATGGAGGAGCTGAAGGCGCTGGACACGGCGATCAAGGCGGGGCTACAGGAGGCGGAGCTGATCGCGCTGCAGCTCTACACAGGTAAGAGAGAGATAGCGAGAGAGGGAGAAGGAGCATGTGAGAGGAGAGAGGAGCAAGAGAGCGTGAGAAGGCTGACAAGAGGCTTGCTATGACAGGGCCGATGTACTTCAAGTACAACTCTGTTCTTCGAGCTCCCAAAGAGCTCCTCCGAGACTCCAACAAGCTCCCCAACAAGTACACGACGACCATCCACTGCATCGTCAGCGGCATCGTCAAGCTGTCTCGTCACACGCCTCTGCCCGATGATCGGCAAGTGTGGATTGGACTGAAAGGCCTGAAGCTGCCGGAGAGCTTCCTCAACGAGGACAAGCTCGGGGTGTCCGGAGGAGTCGAGTACGGGCTGCTGAGCACGACGACAGACGTCAGGACGGCGATGCAGTACGCCGGGGAGGAGGGAGAGTCGATCGTGTTCGAGATCAGCTGCGGGGCGATCGACCGGGGGGCGAGCTTGACGTTTGTGTCTCAGTATCCGGGGGAGGGGGAGATGCTGTATCCACCGCTGTCGTACCTGGAGGTGGTGAAGACGCCGCGGTACAGGGAGGTAGAGGGGAGGCGGGTGAAGGTGCTGGAGCTGAAGATCAACGCGAACACGATGAGCTTGACGATCGAGGACTTTGTGGGGAAGAGGAAGCAGCTGTACGTAGGGCTGATGGAGAACCTGGCGAGGGAGGTAGAGCGAGACGTGAGGGGGTGGGAGGGGAGGATCCAGGAGCGGCTCAGGACAGCAACGGCTGACTCTTGGTTCAAGCGCCATCAGGGTTTTGTTCAATCGATCGTGGAGGAGTGCTGGGGGCTGGTGGAGGCAAGCAGGGCGAGGGAGTCGGGCTGGTACAACGAGGAGTCAAGATACAAGGAGGCGATCGAGCTGTCGAACCGAGTCAAGGACATGGCGATCAACAAGCTCAGGCACTGGATCGAAGACACTCAAGGAGACAGGAAATGTAAAGCCCTTGCGAGAGAGCCGATGCAGTCAGTGTACTGGAGGACGATGGCGGGTCTGATGTACGAGATCAGCTCGCGGACTCCAGCAGGCGATGACGGCAGACGAGAGCAGAGCAAGAGGCTGTGCGAGATGTACGGCTTGTCGATGTCAAGGTCGGGCCAGCACGGGGAGCCGTCGACAGTGACGGCGGTGGTACGAGGACAGGGGGAGCTGATCGGGCTGCTGAAGGCGGGCGGGTACGACATGGACGAGCGGACGGAGGACGGGAGGACAGGGCTGCATGTAGCGGGGATGCTGGGGAGGGCGGGGAGCATGAGGGAGCTGATAGAGGCAGGAGCAGAGGTAGGAGCGAAGGACGAAGAAGGGAAGACGATGGTACACTGGGCGGCGGAGTATGGGCATGTGGAGGTGCTGAAGACGGTAGAGGAAGAATGCGGGAAAGAGACTCTGAGGACCTTGATGGTGGACAAGGACAAGCACGGCATGACATGCGCGCACTGGGCGAGTGAGGGAGGGCACTTGGAGGTAGTGCGGTATGCTGCAGAGACATGCGGGGAGGAGGTGCTGAGGGAGAAGGACGAAGACGGCAAGACATGCGCGCAGTATGCGAGTGCTGAAGGGAACTTGGAGGTGCTGCGGTATGTTGGGGAGACATGCGGGGAGGAGGTACTGAGGGAGAAGGACAATAACGGCAAGACATGCGCGCACTGGGCGAGTGAGGGAGGGCAGTTGGAGGTGCTGCGGTATGCTGTAGAGACATGCGGGGAGGAGGTACTGAGGGAGAAGGACTTTGACGGCAGGACATGCGCTCACTGGGCGAGTCTCAGAGGGCACTTGGAGGTAGTGCGGTATGTTGGGGAGACATGCGGGGAGGAGCTGCTGAGGGAGAAGGACAATGACGGCTGGACAT